GAAGAGAGTCAGGTAGTAGTTCTTCATCTTTACAACGGTGGTTGAAGAACAAGTGACACTTCTGTTTCGCCATGTTACCGTTTGTTACAAAAAGTTTCCTCGCCAAACGAAAGTTGTCAATTCCACATTCATGTTGTATCAATGTTAAAATGTTTTCGTACGTAGGATTCATTATAAATACTCAGTTTTGTTCCTTCTACGTGTGTTTTAATATTCCGAGCTTTCGGACAACTTGTCCATCATCAGGGCAAAATGAAATTACAATGCGTGCGCGAGGATACAAATGTAAACAAAACACTATGGTAACATAACTGCTTAAGAGCGCGCAATAGTTCAAATCAATTAACATGCTGCGCGAGCATAGAATTACACGAAAAATCATTGGATTACAATAAAAGGATAGAATGTTAAGACTAGTTAATGTGTCAAGAGTTCTTTATAAGAATCAGGCAGAGTTCGTCCACTATTTTTGTTAAAAAGGCAGTTTTTGTTCTTTGAAATCTTTATAGCTTCAAGCCAGCGTCTTTGTATCCATCTAGGTTCTTGGGCGAGGATTGAAGACTCTTGCCACGCGATATCATGTCCTGTGTGGTTAGCATGGTCTGCTAATGCAGACTTGTCACATTTGTCTAAACGCACACAGGTCATGTGTTCTTTCTTTCGCGTGGCGAAAGCTCTACCAGTCTCTCCAATGTATACCACATCGCAGTCTTGGCATGGGATCTGGTATATAACACCTGTTTTCTGTTCTTGAGGGACAGGGTCTTTTGGTCTTGACAAAAGTCCTTTCAGAGTTGACACTGGTTTGGCAGAAGATTTGATTTTAAAGCCATGTAAAACTCGCTGGATCTTTTCAGTAGCGCCTTTTACATAGGGTAGTACTGCATATCCAAGTCTGTGACAAGTCTGCATAGCAGACCATGCTAACCACACAGGACATGATATCGCGTGGCAAGAGTTTTCAATCCTCGCCCAAGAACCTAGATGGATACAAAGACGCTGGCTTGAAGCTATAAAGATTTCAAAGAACAAAAACTGCCTTTTTAACAAAAATAGTGGACGAACTCTGCCTGATTCTTATAAAGAACTCTTGACACATTAAGAGCCACTTCGCGCAAAAATCAGACATATCTTGGCAAGGCTCGAAAAATCAAATCTATTCATATTTTGTATATTGATAAGGTATGATTAGGTAACAATCACTGTGTAATTGGTTTTTGAAAATATTTCATTTTTCGCAAGAAAATCGCTAAACAATGTCACATACTGGGCCTTTGCGTGACAAATGTTTGATGGCTAAAAATAGCACTVGAAATAGCCAAACTTTCTACCGAGCTTGTGTGAAATGTAAAATAGTAATTTCAAAAATTTAAATTGYGGCTTTCTAAGTAACTCTTTYTWATTTATTTCGTTGATTTTCAGAGCATTTAATCAAAAAGAAAATTTTCTAGAACTCTGAGTGTTTACATATGTAGTTGTATATAAATTGCAAATTAGTACCTAGAAAAAAATATTATTTTTTCTATGTGCAAGTATTTTGTTTGCAATGAAATTCGGCGTGATAACTAAGCAAGGCATGAGCTTTACAAAGAAATAATATATAATAATAAGTCTGGGCAAATCACTTTCAGGTGCATAGGAATGACTTATTCCAGTCACAATTATCAGCGTAAACACATATTTTGTCACTTGTATTAACMCAACAATTTTCAAAGCATATAAACATCTAATCAACATTAAACGTATGTTATTGAAATAAAAAGGGTTAAGCTTATTTTCTTTGAACATTTTAGGCAATGTAAATGAATTTCGGTTGTTTAAAACATTTGGTGTTTCAACGGATTATTATAGCCAGAAGTATTCATTTCTATGCAACTGAGAGTGATTTGCCCAGACTAATTTTTATGTATATGAAAAGCTCATCTCTTGTTTAGTAATCACTCCGAATTTCATTGCAAACAAAATACTTGCACATTTAAAAAAAGATCATTTTGTAAAGGTACTAATTTGCATATAAAAATACATATGCGAATATTTCGAGTTCCAGAAAATTTTCCTTTTAATTAAATGGTCTGAAAATTACTGAAATAAATATCAAGGAGTTAGTGAGAAAGCTGCAATTTAAATTTTTAAAATAGCTATTTTAGTTTTTACATGAACTCGGTATAAAGTTTGGCTATTTTGAGAGCTATTTTTAGCAATCAAGCATCTGTCACGCAAAGGCCCAGTATGTGACATTAATTCGCGATTTTCTTGCGAAAAATGAAATATTTTCAAAAACCAATTACACAGCGATTGTTACCTAATCATACCTTATCAATATACAAATTATGAATAGATTTGATTTTTCAAGCCTTGCCAAAAAAATTCAGTTTTGTCTGGTTTTTGCGCGAAGCGGCTCTTAA